GCTAAAAAATGCATGTGCATATGTCCCATATAATGTGTGATGTATGAGTGAAGTTTGAACTTAATCGGTCCATGCATGTTCGAAATACAGGTGATCACGGACGCACGCACGGACGCACACAGGGCAAAACACAAGTCCCCGTTTTCGGGAACTAATAATTCACACAGGGGTGAGGTAATTGACATATGACACCAGTTTGACCCCAAAGACGCATTTGGGTGATACAATAGACCTTGGAACAGTTTTCTGACAAATCAGAAAACGACTTTCATAAAGTGATTTGCCAAACTAAAACATGCCAACTTTCTTGAAAATAGCATAAAAAACATGAACTTCGAAGGCAAGCCTGTTCAATCATTTCCGGTCTCTGGTCAGTTCAAAAATTTCGGAAAAACGTTTTTTGGAAAGATATTTGCCAAATAAGTTAGAATAAAACCAGCTTTTGTTTTTTGGGAGAGGACAAAAAAATGACCACCAGTCAGTTAAATGTCACTGCAACAAAAAACAAATTGATGTGCATGTCTATGTCAACACCAAGTGTGAATAAAATCAGCCCAGGCATCCCACAGAAATTGAGGGCACAAATGTTGAATTTCCGGGACAAAAAAAAACCAAATTCAAAGAAACCAACAACAACAAATCTATGGTGTATTATGTCAACTATTATGAATCGTCTTTCTACAAACTTCGAACAAAACTGTCTCATCTGTGAAATGATGTTGGATGGAGGAACAGATCACAGTCAGAAAACGGAAGAAGGGATCCCAAAACTTATGCCACTGTTTTGGACTAAGTAAGACAGGGACTAATTGATATAAAGATTAACTGATCAGATATTGCAACATCTTTCTCAGTATGCATGACGTACCATAAGTTTAGCAGATGCAGACAGTGATACTTGTTTCCTTTTACCATCCGGAAAACGAACCATTAAGTTAGTTTTAGGACCTGTAAGATATAAGAGAGTTGGGTGATATAACAAGACCAGATTATGAGTGAAGTGAAGTGTGGGTGAGCACTACAAACAAGCCATTTCAGCAGATAATGAACATCTTATCATAAGCTAATTAGTATATGCCAATTTAAAGTTTACTGCCATTTTTCAATAGTTTAGTTTTATTTTTGCATTTACTGGAATCTGACAGCTGCTTAGTTGAAAAATGTTCATAATTATTTGTAAGCCATGTGTACCAACCAACCACTGGATAATTTTTTAATTTTATGTTGTACTGTCCTAACTTTTTTAGCATCAACAATATATATTCTAAACCATAACCTTGGCTTGTCACCAGACTGATGGTGTACATACACAAAAAAAGAGTTACACACACCGTGACCAATTTAACAAAATCACAATACTGAAAAAGTATTCATTTTCACTGGTACTACTTTGATATTTAATCATATTCACAAAGTTTTAAAATTCACAGATGCAGAGGTGTGGGATAAATAAAAGGTACACATGTTACTCTGTAATGTATGTACAACAACTGTCATGTCATATGTGTAATCTAGTCGTATCCAATTTACTATTAATAACAACTACTTGAATAATGTAATTTGTATTACCATCATCATCATCATCATCATCTTCACCATCTTTATTTTCTTCCACAATATCCTCTTCTTCCTCGTCATAACTCACAATACTATCATTGTCACTCATGATGACATTATCAATGTTCTTATCATCATCCTTATCATCTTTGCACTTCTCAACATTATTGTGATTGTTATGTTTATCTTTTTCTGGCGAGTTCACATTGTTCCTTGTTGCCATTTTATTTATATCAATACTCAGAGAGTCTTGTTTATCTGCAATGCTACAATTTGCATTTCCGTTTTTTTGAGGTTTCTTGACGGGAGAACATCTTGGTGATGTGCCTCTACTGTTTGTTTCATTGTCACTACATTCTGATTCTGAACTACTGCCATTGATGGAGTGAAATGTTTCACTCTCCAAGTCAGATAAGTCTTCAGAATGTTCAGATTCACTGTCAATTATTACTTCTCTCAGCTTTTTTTTCTTTTCTTTGTTTTCCATTTTTGGACTCGTCGTCTCTGCCAGAGAGGCAGCAATGGCGGCTTCCAATTGGCTGTCCTCACTTGCATCAACTATACTGTCAACCTGTGTAGTCAATACAAATTCTTGTCATATAGTGAGTTAAGTCAATACAACAAGCTATCCACTATGATATAGTTATTCAGTATAGACAATCGAAACGATGCACCTGACAGACAATATGAGGTAAACAAAGAGACTCTTCAAAATGAATCACCATAGATTAGACTTGCAATTTCAAATCACTGGACGTATTATATCATTGTATTGCGTTTGTTTCGTAATGCATTATGTAAGCGATAGAGGTGAGTATATTGTCAAAATAAGTTGTATATTAAAGACCCAGTATACAGTAAATGTAATTTTTGATTTACGTGCACCTCTTTTGGATATATATGCTTCTAATAGTTCGAATACAGTATTTATGTTCCCAGATACAGGTAATTTATGTGTCAATTTTAAGTTTAAAAGTCATTAAAGTGGTGGAGTTGTCACTTGCACATATGTCAGATGACCATGGCGTGTTAATGTTTACAAACAAGCGTCTACCCATGAGCCTTTGCATTTTTAGTGTGTGTTGTTATCATGGCTTGGGACTCATTTCCCGCGTGTGCGTAGGTGACGACCCTCTCGCTATAAAACATTAAACATCATTCTAGGAATAAAATGACAGTTACAAACAAAGAGACATCTAAGTTCATTACATGTCTATGTGTTTATACTTACACGTCTAACTCGTTTCTTTGGTGGACTCAAGCCTTCATTATCAAATATAGGATGTTGAGCTAAGAACTCAGTCACTAAATCGCAAAAATTAATGTTATCAAGTCTATGCCATTCAGCCAATTTTTCACCTGAAGAAAGATCACAAGAATATCACTGTAAATAAGGAACACTTTTTAGATTTATCGAAGAGAGATGTTTTTTTGATGCAGAACAATTTTGGATCTAATACCAGCATCCAGATAAGCATGTTAATTCAGTGAAAGGGGTTCAACCAGTTTTCAACGTAGTCCACTTTACAAACAAAATTGTCATTTGCGCAGTAATCTTATGATACAAGTTTACTGTTACAGTCAAACACATGTTTGTGACCACTTCTATGTAAAGACCTTCTGTCTATAGTGACCATTTTTGGGCAGTCCCAAGACATAAGACACGAACAACTTGTCTTATGTAACAATCCTTTCAGCAATATTTTTAATTTCCTCAAGTTAAACTTTTTTGATTTTGATCAATTCAAATAAATGAGTTTTTGTTGCAGAAGTACCATCTCATTTTTTTCTGGACAAATCAAATGTTGCAAGCTTTATATAAAGACCACCATAAGAACCATTTCAATGAAGTCTCTTGTGTCAACACTATACACAGATTTGACTATATATAAATTATATGATATTCATGATATTCTCTCCTAGATTGACATCAGCAGACAAGAGTGATTACCAACAGA